TGCTCAATCTCCTTAGTAATTAGCTAAATGCAAATTAAGGCCATAACTACACCCCACCATATTGGCAAAAGTGAAATGTCTGAAGAGGATGGGAAGGCAAGGGAATTCTGTTTTACTGCTGGTGGGCATGTAAACTAGAACAATATTTAGAAAGATCCTCATACCCTAGAACCCAGAAGTCATACTCCAGAAGTACAAACCCTAGAAAAATTTGTGCACCATTTGCAAAAAACACATGTGCATCAGAGACATAGACAAAATTGTTACTAGAAGCATTGTGTGTAATTACCCCAAACTAGAAACAAACCAACTGTCCAGCTACCGCAGACATGCCCAATCTTTCGGCTTCCATGGACCTCACTGGAAGAACTATCTTGGGCCACGCATAAAATACACTAACACTAACTATAGCTGATGAGCTAAAAAAAACAAAACAAAACAAAACAAACAAAAAAAAGCAACAAAAATTTTATAATGTTTTAAGAAAGTTTACAAATTTGTGTCGGGCCACATTCAAAGGCATCCTGGGGGCTGCATGCACTGGACAAGCTTGACTGACAGTAAAATGAATCTGTGAACTATGATATAGCCAATGGAAGTTTTTAGCAATGAACATGCACAAACTATACTACACACAGCAACCTAAATAAATCTCACAGACATAATAATGAGCCAAAGAAGTCAGCTGCCAGAAGTTGCATCTGTATGATTCAAGGGGATAAAGCACAGAAACGGGAAAATACTGCAATGGCTGCATAATTGGGTGTTGAAGACTTTTTAGAAAAACAAGAACATAAGACTCACATAAGCCAGGGCGGAGAGGCCGGAAGTGACACTGTGAGGGGAGGGCATTTGGGTGCTGGCAAAACTATTTCCTGACGGAGGTTGCACAGATGCTCACTTCCTAACCGTGTGTGAGGTTGTGCATTTATGTTTTATTCACTTTTCTGTATGTTGCTTTATTCTGCAGCAAATGAATGAAAAAGGGAGTCTGCCTCAGGTCTGAGCCCCTCAGAGCGTGGCCACGGATGAAGCTGACGGTAACGCAAGGGCAGCTGTCCAGCAGCCTGGAATGCCTGCACAGTTTCCTAGGGGTCCAAAGGAGGGTAGATGGGTAGGGGTCTGCTCTGTGCCCATCCAATCTCCCTCCAGTGAGAATGGCTGGAAGATGGCTTAAAAGGGATCACCACTTACACACTTCTGAGGTGGCGGGGGTTGTCTGTCAAGCATCTTCATGGGGTCACTGCCCCCTCTTCCTCAAGGACAGGCGTCCTCCTGGCACCGCCCCCTCGGGAGGCAGTCTATTTAGGAGGAGGGAACAGGGCGTGCAGGCGGAGATAGGGCAGGGTGTGTGTGCGAGGTGCCCGGCGAGGGGCTTGATACTGCTGGGTCACAGTCAAAGACAAAGGCTGTGGTCCTTCCCCCATTCCCCTCCTCTAGAGATGAGCACAGCCCTCCCATGTTCCTGGTGTGACCCTGGTGTCCTAGGCCATCCGTCCAGGGCCTGGATCACCCTCAAAAGCCTCTTCCCTGCTGAGCTTCAATCTGCCTTTCTATGAAATGGCCCCAGTAAGCCCTGCCTGCCTCAGGGCACTGAGCCGCAGGCCCCAGGCCCCCCTCTCTCCCGACACCCACCCTCGCCCATCCTGAGCTGCAGGAAGCACCTCCCTGGGGCTGCACTGAGCCCCAACCAGCAGGGGAGCTCCGCACAGTGTGGCCCAGAAGCAGCAGTGGGAACCGAGGCTTCTGGTTCTAAAAACATCTTTCAAGGCTGGGCGCAGTGGCTCACACCTGTAATCCCAGCACTTGGGAGGCAGAGGTGGGCAGATCAGTTGAGGTCAGGAGTTCAAGACCAGCCTGGCCAACATGGTGAAACCCCGGTTCCACTAAACATACAAAAATTTGGCAGGCACCTGTAATCCCAGCTACATGGGAGGGTGAGGCGGGAGAACTGATTGAGGCGGGAGAACTGATTGAACCCAGGAGACAGAGCTCGCAGTGAGCTGAGATCGCACCAATGCACTCTAACCTGGGCAACAGAGTGAGACTGTCTCAAAAAAAAAAAAAAAAAATCTTTTCACAATAAAAATCTTTATTAACGGAAGGCACGGGGCTCACCACAGTCCTTCGGATGGAACCACAGTAAGAGAAGCATGTTTCGTCCTGGGCTCGGGGTGCTTCCCAAAGCCACTGGGGCCATTTTCCCAAACCCCAAAACTGAGCCCACCTGAAGTCATCTTGAAGGTAGGCAAGTCAGTGAGTCCTCTTGAAGCCTAGGTTTCCCTACCTAAAAAATGAGGAAGCAGGACGGTCCCTAGGGCAGGGCCTAGGCCTCCTGCCAGCCCACCCTCACAGACCCAGAGGGCAAAGCAGGGTGAGGCGGGGCAGTTTCACTCCCCAGTGCTGTGGCCCCCTTGGCTGAGTGAAAGCACCCCCAGAGCCCTAACCCTAGCCCTGGGAGCCAGGCAGAGACCCCCACAATGACCATCAGAGGCCATGAGGGGTGGCAGGGAGCCAGGCAGGAGCCAGGGTCTAGGCTCCGAGCAGCGAAGGATGGATAGGGTCACATGCCAGTTAGTGGCAGAGGTGGGATTTGAACTCACGCCTCTGTGAGACTTGGTTCTCTCACCTACAAAATGGGTCTAATAGCAGCTGCTTCTCCAAGCAAATGATGTCAAGTACCCAGCTCGGCACCTCACAGATGTGCTCGGTAAATGGTAACTCCAACCCTACCCTTATATGTGGACTCGAACATTTACGGCAAGTCTCAGGAGGTCGTGGGAACCCCTCACGGCTCCTTCCTCGTGCTGGAGGACCATGGCCTGCCCCCTACCCCACCCCAACACTCTTACAACTGAGGCCCTAGGCCTAGAGCCGCTCACACAGAGGTGGGCAGCTATGCCAGCAGGTGCAGAGTCTGGGAGGCGAGACTGGGCCAGGGTCCCAGCTGGGCTCCGGGTAGCCACAGGCCTTAGCTGTCCAGTTGGCCAGAGGGTCCTATCACGTGGCTCTGGGCCCCAGGACGCTTTAGCCACTTAGCCGGCTCCAGGTGGCCGTGTAAGATAAAGCAAAGGTGTCCCGGAGTGCACCACTAGCTCAGCACTCCGGGCACCAGGCTGGAAACCGTAACTCTCACCCAATCCCCCATTTAAACATTTTACAGGAAGTGGCCGGGCACAGTGGCTCACACCTGTAATCGCAGCACTTTGGGAAGCCGAAGTGGGCGGATCACCTGAGGTCAGTTCGAAACCAGCCTGGCCAACATGATGAAACCCCATCTCTACTAAAAATACAAAAAATTAGCCAGGCGTAGTGGCGGGCACCTAGAATCCCAGCTAATCGGGAGACTGAGGCGGGAAAATTGCTTGAACCAGGGAGGCAGAGGTGGCAGTGAGCCGAGATCATACCACTGCACTCCAGCCTGGGTGACAGGGTGAGACTACATCTCAGAAACAAAAAAAAAAATGACAAAATAAAATTTTACAGAAAGAGAAACTATGGCCACAGTGGGGAGTGGCATGACTCACTAAGCGAGTTCAGGTCAGACAGGGCAAAGAATTCTGACCACAGGGAGGAGGAATGGCTGGTTTTCCAGAGACAGATCAGAACAACAGAAGCTCCCTGCGCCCCAGCCTTGGCTGTGGTGCACCGACCTCTCACCCCAGGCAGGCTGAAGAGGAAGCCCCTGCAGAGGTGGCCTTGGACACCTGGTTCCTGGAAGCAGCTGGCTGCCGTCATCAGCAGGGCCTGCAGTTCCACCACACCCTATGGCCCCCTAGGGCCACAGCCTCCCACATCCGCTAACCAGCCTCATCACTTGTTTCCGCCAGCAAACCACAGGTCCCAGAACACACCCCAGGGAAGGGGGCCGCAGGACCTTCTCCCCTAGTCAGTCACTGTCAGTGGCACAAGTGCGGACCTCAGTTTAGGTTTCCCTGACATAAAGTGCTAAGAAAAATCACAAGGATCCTAGGGTCCCTGCCAGCCCCGACCTCCCCCGAGTCTGTTTCATTAAAAATCCAACCTGGAAGGGCCGGGCGTGGTGGCTCAGGCTTGTAATCCCAGCACTTTGAGAGGCCAAGGTGGGCAGATCACGAGGTCAGGAGATCAAGACCATCCTGACTAACATGGTGAAACCCTGTCTCTACTAAAAATACAAAAAATTAGCCGGACATGGTGGCAGGCGCCTCTGGTCCCAGCTACTCTGGAGGCTGAGGCAGGAGAATGGCGTGAACCCGGGAGGCGGAGCTTGCAGTGAGCCGATATCGCGCCACTGCACTCCAGCCTGGGAGACAGAGCAAGATTCCGTCTCAAAAAAAAAAATATCCAGCCTGGAAGGTGTGCCAGGGAGAGTGACCCGCTGGAACTCCACAGCAGAAAGTAAGGGGACCAATTGGGGCTGGGCCTGACTCAAGTATTGCCTAGAGGACTTGGGCATCTGGGTACCACCGTCCCTACCCACCCTTGGCCTGCTTAGGGTCCACTGTTCCCATCCCATCATAGCTGTCACTTCTTCCAAAAAGTATTCCTGAAACCCCCAGTCCCTGCACACCCAGCTGCCCTGGACACTGTGCCATAAGCACTTCATACCCAGTTGTCCCCAGACTGGGCTGTGAACTCGGCCAGGCCAGAGGCCCCTGTCTGGAATGGGACCAGGCATGCAAGAGATACCCAGTAACTGCTCATGCACTAATGCAGGGAATGAACCAGCTGTAGCTGCAGCGCCTTCTAGCTCTGCAGCAGCTCTGCCCTGGCCTGACCCAAGGCAGCAGAACTAGTGTGTGCGGTGTGGGCTCCCAGCCCAGACTGCACAGGTTTGGGTCCTGATCTGTTACTCACTGTGCACCCTGGAGAAGTCACTCAGCGACATGCACCCTGGAAGACAGGACAACCAGCTCTTGGGGTTCCTGGGTACTGCTGCAGTCACCACTTGGACATCAGTGTGGGCACCCAGGAAGCTGGTAATCCCCTCCTTCTCAATCAAGCCCCAGCCACCAAGGCAAAGCTCACTGCTGCTTTATTGGAGGCAACAGCCCCTACTGGAGCCTGTGTCTTAGCGTTCCTCGGGGTCCCAGGGCCAGCCCCGGCCCCACCCAGCTGCCCTGGCCCTGCCAGGCTTCCAGCCCACTGCGGGGTGAGTGTGATGGGGGGACCACTGTTCTTGTCCTCAGAGCCCAGGCACAACTTGGTCCTGGGTTTCTGGGGTTGGGACAGGGCAAGTTAGTGTGGGGCAACAGAGTCCCCTCGTCCTCTGGAGCCTGGAGCCTGGTCCAGCCTTGGAACCCAGCCTGCTGGATGAGACTGGCTGGGTCCTACGAGATGTCCATCACAGAGGCCCTAGGCAAGCAGGGCCTTGCTCCTGCTCACCCTCCCACGTGGGCCCGTGTCCATCTGTGTGGCCTGGGGTCAGGGCCCCTGTGACTGCCTTGGCCTGGCAGCCACACGGGCAGGCATCACCTAGGCCCGGTGTAGCCGTAGGGGTGCCGCAGCAGCAGGCTCTGGTGGCTGGGCAGCACGTGGGTGTGGTAGTGCTCCACCATGCTGCCCACACTCACAAACAGGACCTCGCCCTCCAGGTAGAACTTAGAGTCCTGTGGGGAAAGAAAGGCGGAGCGTCAGCAGGGCCAGGCCACTCAGTGGCTCTAGGCCTCAGTCTCCCCATCTGTAACATAAGGCAACAGCAGCAACAGCAGCATCGCCAGGCCCCTGGCTGTCGGTGGTGCCCCCAGGGTGGCCTCCGCATCGGGCCTGTGCTCTCCACGTTCCCACCTCACTTCCCCTCCGTCCCCCATGTCCAGGAGCCTGCACCCAGAGCACTGCAGACAAGGTAAGGAAATGAACCTAGGGACCGGGCCAGGCACAGTGGCCCATGCCTGTAATCCCAGCACAGTGGGAGGCCGCGGTGGGAGGATTGCTTGAGCCCCAGAATGTGAGACCAGCCTGAGAAAGACAGTGAGACCCCTGTCCCCGCGAAAAGAAAAAGACAAGACAACCCAGGGTCTAGGGCTGACCACCCAGCCCCACTAGGGTGAGTGGAGGACAAAGCTAGGCCAGGAGAGGAGGGAGGCTGAGCAGGAGGGGTGGGGGGTGAGGAATGATGGAGGGTAAGGGGAGGGCAGTGTCCCGGAGGTGGAGGACAAAGCTAGGCCAGGAGAGGAGGGAGGCTGAGCAGGAGCGGGGGAGGGTGGTATCCCAGAGGTGCCATTCTCAGTCTACCTGCTGCCTACACCCAATCAGGGAGATTCTGCTCTGCCTCTTGCCAGGCCATGCAGCCAGGGTCCCTGTCCCACTCGGAGCCCTCTCACCCCCTCACCCCTCTTACCCCCTCACCCCCTCCCCCCCTCACCCTCTCACCTCATCCTGCCACCCTCTCACCCTCACCCCCTCACCCTCTAAACTCACCCCCTCACCCCTTACCCCCTCTCACCCTCATCCCTCACCCCCTCACCCTCTCAAGTCACCCCCTCACCCTCTCACCTCACCCTCTCACCCTCACCTCACCCTCTCACCCCATCACCCCTTCATCCCCTCTCCCCCTCACCCTCTCACCCCCTTGCCCCTCTGCATCCCCTCTCACCCCTTCACCCTCTCACCCCCTCACCCTCTCCCTCTCATCCCCTTACCATCTCCCCTCTCACCCCCTCTGCATCTCTCCCTCTCACCCCTCACCCCCTCACCCTCTCCCTCTCACCTCTCACCCCCTCAACCTCTCCCACCCCTTCACCCCACACACCCCCTCACCCTCTCTCACCCTCTCACCCCCTCACCCTCTCCCTCTCACCCTCTCTCCCTCTCACCCTCTCCCTCCACACCCTCTCCCCTCTCCCTCTCACCTTCTCACCCTCTCACCTTCTCCCTCTCACCCTCTCCCTCTCCCCCTCTCACCCTCTCCCTCTCACCCTCTCCCTCTCACCCTCACCTCCCTCTCCACCCTCTCTCCCTCTCACCCTCTCCCTCTCACCCTCTCACCCCTCTCCCTCTAACCTTCTCACCCTCTCACCCTCACCCTCTCCTCTCACTCTCACCCTCTCCCTCTCACAGCCCTCACCCTCTCACCCCCTCACCCTCTCCCTCTCACCCTCCCTCTCACCTTCTCACCCTCTCCCTCTCACCATCTCACCTTCTCACCCTCTCACCCCCTCACCCTCTCCCTCTCACCCTCTCCCTCTCACCCTCTCACCCCCTCACCCTCTCCCTCTCACCCTCTCTCCCTCTCCCCCTCTCACCTTCTCACCCTCTCACCCCCTCTCTCCCTCTCACCCTCTCTCCCTCTCACCCTCTCCCTCTCACCCTCTCCCTCTCACCTTCTCCCTCCTCACCTCTCCTTCCCCTCACCTTCCTCACCTCTCACCCCCTCACCCTCTCCCTCCCACCTTTCACCCTCTCCCTCTCCTTCTCCCTCTCACCCTCTCACCCTCTCCCTCTCACCCTCTCCCTCTCACCCCCTCACCCTCTCCCTCTCACCCTCTCCCTCTCACCTCTCCCTCTCTCACCTCTCTCGCTCCCCCTCTCCCTCTCACCTTCTCACCCTCTCACCCCCTCATCCTCTCCCTCTCACCCTCTCCCTCTCACCCTCTCTCCCTCTCCCTCTCACCCCTCTACCCTCTCCTCTCGCTCTCACCCTCTCTCACCTCTCCCTCTCACCCTCTCACCCTCTCTCCCTCTCACCCTCTCCCTCTCTCACCCTCTCCCTCTCACCCTCTCACCCTCTCCGTCTCTCCCTCTCACCTTCTCCCTCTCACCTTCTCACCCTCTCACCCCATCAGCCTCTCCCTCTCACCCTCTCTCCCTCTCCCTCTCCCCGTCTCACCCTCTGCCTCTCACCTTCTCCACCCTCTCCACCCTCTCTCCACCTCTCCCTCTCACCCTCACCCTCTCTCCTCTTACCCTCTATCCCTCTCCCTCTCACCTTCTCCCTCTCACCTTCTCACCCCCTCACCCCCTCACCCTCTCCCTCTCACCCTCTCCCTCTCACCCTCTCCCCATCTCCCTCTCACCCTCTCACCCTCTCTCCCTCTCTCCTTCTCACCCTCTCACCCTCACCTCTCCCCTCTCTCCCTCTCACCCTCTCCCTCTCACCTCTCCCTCTCACCCTCTCCCTCCTTCTCACCCTCTCCATCTCACCTTCTCACCCTCTCACCCCCTCACCCTCTCCCTCTGCCCTTTCACCTCCCTCTCACCCTCCCTCTCACCCTCTCTCCCTCTCACCCTCTCTCCCTCGCACCTTCTCCCTCTCAACCTCTCACCCTCTCCCTCTCACCCTCTCCCTCTCCCTCTCACCCCCTCTCCCTCTCACCCTCTCTCCCTCTCACCTTCTCACCCCTCTCACACCCCCTCACCCTCTCCTCTCCACCCTCTCTCCCTCTCACCCTCTCCCTCTCCCCTCTCCCTCTCACCCCTCTCACCTCTCTCCCTCTCACCCTCTCACCCCCTCCACCCTTTCTTCCCTCCTCACCCTCTCCCTCTCACCTCTCCCTCTCACCCTCTCCCTCTCACCCTCTCCCTCTCTCCCTCTAACCCTCTCCCTCTCACCTTCTCCCTCTCACCCTCTCCCCTCTCACCCTCTCCCACCCTCACCCCCTCTCACCCTCTCCCCTCTCACCCTCTACCCCTCTCCCACCCTCTCACTCTCTGACCCTCTCTCCCTCTCCCTCTCACCCTCTCCCTCTCACCCTCTCACCTCTCTCCCTCCCACTCTCACCTCTCACCTTCTCACCCTCTCCCCCACCCTCTCCCTCTCACCCTCTCCCTCTCACCCTCTCACCCTCTCACCCTCTCTCCCTCCCCCTCTCCCTCTCACCTTCTCACCCTCTTACCCTCTCCCTCTCACCCTCTCCCCCTCTCTCCCTCCCACTCTCCCTCTCACCTTCTCACCCTCTCACCCCCACACCTCTCTCCCTCTGCCCTCTCACCCTCTCCCCCTCTCTCCCTCCCTCTCTCCCTCTCACCTTCTCACCCTCTCACCCCCTCACCCTCTCCCTCCTCACCCTCTCCCTCTCACCCCTCTCACCCTCTCCCTCTCACCCTCTCTCCCTCTCTCCCTCTCCCTTCTCACCCTCCTCACCCCCTCACCCTCTCCCCTCTCACCCTCTCTCCCACTCCCTCTCACCTTCTCACCCTCTCACCCCCTCACCCTCTCCCTCTCCCTCTCTCCCTCTCCCTCTCACCCCTCTCACACCTCTCCCTCTCGCTCTCCCACCCTCTCACCTCTCTCCTCTCACCCTCTCACCTCTCCCTCTCACCCTCTCTCCCTCTCACCCTCTCACCCTCTCCTCTCTCCTCTCACCTTCTCCCTCTCACCTTCTCACCCTCTACCCCATCAACCTCTCCCTCTCACCTCTCTCCTCTCCCTGTCTCACCCTCTCTGCCTCTCACCTTCTCACCCTCACCCTCTCCCTCTCACCCTCTCACCCTCTCTCCCTCTTGCCCTCTGCTCCACTCTCTCCCTCTCACCTTCTCCCTCTCACCTTCTCACCCTCTCACCCCTCCACCTCTCCCTATCACCCTCTCCCTCTCACCCTCTCACCCCTCTCCCTCTCACCCTCTCACCCTCTCTCCCTCTCTCCTTCTCACCCTCTCACCCCCTCACCCTCTCTCCCTCTCCCTCTCTCCCTCTCACCCTCTCCCTCTCACCCTCTCCCCTCTCCCTCCCTCACCCCCTCACCCTCTCTCCCTCTCACCCCTCACCCTCTCTCCCTCTCACCTTCTCCCTCTCACCCTCTCCCTCTCACCCTCTCCCCCTCACCTTCTCCCTCTCACCCTCTCCCTCTCCTCTCCAACCTCTCACCCTCTCACCCCTTCTCCCTCTCACCTTCTCACCCTCTCCCTCTCTTTCCCTCACCCTCTCTGCAATCAGCTCCCTCTCACCCTCTCTCCCCTCTCCCTCTCACCCCCTCTCACCCTCTGCCTCTCACCTTCTCACCCTCTCACCCTCTCCCTCCTACCCTCTCCCTCTCTCCCTCTTACCCTCTCCCCCTCTCTCCCTCTCACCCTCTCCCTCTCACCTTCTCACCTCTCCCTCTCCCCTCTCCCTCTCACCTCTCTCCCTCTCACGCCTTCCTCCTCACCTCTCCCTCTCACACCCTCACCCTCTCCCTATCACCCTCTCCTCTCACCCTCTCACCCTCTCCCGCTCACCTTCTCCCACCTAACCCTCTCCCTCTCACCCCTTCTCACCCTCTCACCCCCTCACCCTCTCCCTCTCACCCTCTCTCCCTCTCACCCTCTCCCTCTCACCTCTCTCCCTCTCACCTCTCTCCCTCTCACCCTCTCACCCTCTCCCTCTCACCCTCTCTCCCTCTCACCCTCTCCCTCTCACCCTCTCTCCCTCTCACCCTCTCCCTCTCCTCTCTCCCCTCCCACCCTCTCCCTCTCACCCCTCTCACCCCCTCACCCTCTCCTCTCACCCTCTCTCCCTCTCACCCTCTCCCTCTCACACTCTCTCTCTCACCCTCTCTCTCCCCTCTCACCTTCTCACCCTCTCACCCTCTCCCTCTCACCCTCTTCCTCTCACCCTCTCCATCTCACCTTCTCCCTCTCACCGTCCTCCCTCTCACCTTCTCACCCTCTCACCTCCCTCTCCACTTCTCTCACCCTCTCACCCTCTCACCTCTCCCTCTCACCCTCTCTCCCTCTTACCCTCCTATCCCTCTCCCACCTCTCTCCCTCTCACCCTCACCCTCTCACCTCACCCCTCTCCCTCTCTCCCTCTTACCCTCTCTCCTCTACCCCCCTCTCCCTCTCGCCTTCTCCCTCTCACCGTCTCACCTTCTCCCTTTCACCGTCTCACCTTCTCACCCCTCACCCTCTCTCTCCCTCTCCCCTCTCCCTCTCTCCCTCTTACACCTCTCTCCCTCTCACCCTCTCCCTCTCACCTTCTCCTCTCACCTCTCCCCTTCTCCCTTTGCCGTCTCACCTCTCATCCCCTCACCCTCTCAACCTCTCCCCTCTCACCCTCTCCCCCTCCACCCCTAACCCTCTCCCTCTCACCCTCTCCACCCTCCCTCTCCCTCTCTGCCTCTCACCCTCTCCCTCTCCCTCTCCCTCTCACCTCCCTCTCACCTCTCACCTCCTCACCCTCTCCCTCTCACCTCTCTGCCCTCTCACCCCTCTCCCTCTCCCTCCTCTCTCACCCTCTCCCTCTCACCCTCTCCCCTCTCCTGCCTCTCCCCTCTCCCTCTCACCTCTCACCCTCTCCCTCTGACCCTCTCTCACCCTCTCACCTCCTCTCCCTCTCCCTCTCTCCCTCCCTCTGCCCTCTCCTCTCCCTCTCCCTCACCCTCTCACCCCTCCCTCTCCCTCTCCACGGTCTCACCCTCTCCCTCTCACCCTCTCACCTTCTCACCCCTCCCCTCTCCCTCTCCCCTCACCCTCTCACCTCACCCTCTCCTCTCTCACCTCCCTGCCTCTCTCCCTCTGCCTCTCTCCCTCTCACCCTCTCTCCCCCTCTCCTTCTCACCCTCCCCCCCTCACCTCTCCCTCTCACCCTCTCCCCTCTCACCCTCTCTCCCACCTCTCATCCTCTCTCCCTCTCTCACCCTCTCCCTCTCACCTCTTTTACTCTCTCTCCTCTCACCCTCTCTCCCTCTCACCTTCTCACCCTCTCACCCCTCACCTCTCCCTCTCACCTCTCTCCCTCTCACCTCTCTCCCTCTCACCCTCTGCCTCTCACCCCTCTCTCCTCTCCCTCTCACCCTCTTACCCTCTCTCCCTCTCACCCTCTCCCTCTCCCCCTCTCACCCTCTCTCCCTCTCACCTTCTCACCCTCTCACCCTCTCCCTCTCATCTTCTCTCCCTCTCCCCCTCTCCCTCTCACCCTCTTACCCTCTCTCCCTCTCACCTCTCTCCTCTCACCTTCTGCCTCTCACCCCCTCACCCTCTCCCCTCTCACCCTTTCACCCTCTCCCTCTCCCACCCTCTCCCACCCTCTCTCCCTCTCACCTCTCTCTCTCACCTTCTCAAGCTCTCACCCCCTCACCCTCTCCCTCTCACCCTCTCTCCCTCTCACCCTCTCCCTCTCACCCTCTCCCTCTCACCTTCTCCCTCTCACCCTCTCCCTCTCATCTTCTCTCCCTCTCACCCTCTCCCTCTCACCCTCTTACCCTCTCCCATCTCTCCCTCCCTCTCTGCCCTCTCCCTCTCACTTTCTCACCCTCTCACCCCCTCAGCCTCTCCCCCTCACCCTCTCTCCCTCTCACCCTCTCCCTCTCACCTTCTCACCCTCTCCCTCTCCCCCTCTCCCTCTCACCCTCTCACCCTCTCTCCCTCTCACCCTCTCCCTCCTCCCACCTTCTCACCCCTCTCCCTCTCCCCTCTCCTCTCACCCCTCTCCCTCTCCCCTCTCCCTCTCACCCTCTCACCTCTCACCCCCTCTCCCTCTCCCTCTCACCCTCTCACCCCCTCTCCCTCTCCCTCTCACCCTCTCACCCTCTCACCCTCTGCCTCTCACCTTCCTCACCCTCTCCCACCCCCTCTCCCTCTCCCTCTCACCCTCTCTCCCTCTCTCCCTCTCACCTTCTCCCTCTCACCCTCTCCCCCTCTCCCCCTCACCCTCTCACCCCCTCCCTCACCCTCTCACCCCTCTCCCCTCACCCTCTTACCCATGCCATCTCCTCTCACCCCCTCCCACCTCTCTTGCCACCATCTCCCTCTCACACCTCACTGCTGCACTGCCTACCATCTCACCTCTCACCCTCTCCCTCTCACCTTCTCACCCTCTCTCCCCCTCTCCCTCTCACCCTCTCACTCTCTCCCTCTCACCCTCTCTCTCCTCTCCCCTCTCCCCTCTCACCCCCTCACACTCTCCTACTCTCACCCTCTCACCCTCTCCTCTCACCTTCTCACCCTCTCACCCCCTCACCCTCCCCCTCCCCCCCACCCCCTCCCCCCCCCCCCCCCCCCCCCCCCCCCCCCCCCCCCCCCCCCCCCCCCTCCCCCCCCCCCTCTCACCCCCTCACCCTCTCACCCCCTTACCATCTCCCCTCTTACCCCCTCACCATCTCTCCCTCTCACCCCCTCACCCCCCTCCCTCTCCCTCTTACCCTCTCTCCCTCTCACCCTCTCCCTCTCCCTCTCACCCTCTCCCTCTCCCCCTCCCCCCCCTCCCCCCCTCACCCTCTCTCCCCCTCACCCTCTCACCCTTTCTCCCTCACCCTCTCACCCTCTCACCCCCTCTCCCTCACCCTCTCACCCTCTCACCCTCTCTCTCTCACCCTCTCACCCTCTCCCTCTCACCCTCTCCCCATCTCCCTCTCACCCTCACCCTCTCACCTTCTCAAAAATGCGATAGTTCCTCACTTTGTTGGAGGTTTCATCCCATACAACCAGGACCTACAGGAGGGAAGCAGGAGGCTGACGGCTCCCTGAGAAACAGCGGGACCAGCCTCGGGAGACCGTCGGCTGGGGATAGCGGGGCAGAACCATCAAGGCTGGGTCCTATGGCCCTCGGGGGGTGGGGAGGGGCTCCAGACCACCTGCATAGATACGGACAGCAGGGACGACACTGGCAGCCCTCAGAGAGTCTCTGATGAGCAACGGCTCATAACCACCAAAAACCACTCCGACACACTCGGGAGAGCATGGCTCAGTGAGGTCACAGCTTCACGCTCCGAGGGACACGGGCAGACCGGGCGTTCCCACTGCCCCATGTGGCCTCCCCCACCCCGGAGCATGAGCCCTACCCCACCCGAGTCCTGGCCCCCACTGGGAGGTGGCCATCATCGCCCCCAATTTGCAGATGGAGATCTATTAGGGAATAGATTAGGGGGTGCTGCTGGGCAGAGAATTTAACTGAGACACCAAGTAAGAGTCCACAAGGGGAGTGGTCTAGGAACTGTGGAGTCCTGGGCCCGCCCACAGCCTGGGTGTGTGGAGAGCCAGAGAGGCCAACCGCATGGGGCCTTGGGGCATCTTCCCCTGGTGCCTACCTTCCCCGACTTGGTAGAGGAGTTTCGGATGCAGTAGAGTCCATCCTGGGGCTCTCCCCGGGGGCTTGTAGCCTTGAACAGCCTAAAATAAGACAGTCATATTGGCAGGTGAGCCCTTCTCAGGCAGCTTTCACAGGGACCTTCCCACCCCACTCCCAAGCCTGGCTTTCTGTCCTCTCGCTGTTGTATGTCTCAGGCGCTGAGTGTGTCGGGCTGCCGTGAAGCTGAGGGAAGCAGCCCAGCAGAGCCCTGGCCAGCCAGGGTGCCAGCTGGGCATGGGACACAGCAGGGGGGTCCACTCCTCTGGTTCCTTCTGCACGCAGGGCCATATACTTGTGCCAGCAACTCCCCAACACAGAAGCTAGTGAGAGGGACACAGCGGGGGACCCAGGGCATCCAGGGATTTGTGCTGACCTTTCCACTTCGCAGGATTCCGTGGTGTTGATGAAGACCGAGTTAGGCAGCGGCACCTGCAAGAGGCTGACGGCATCAGTGCCAATGTCAGAGTGATCCACCCGCACTACCACTCTCCAGACGGTGGCCACCCAGTGCCAGGATCTGGGGCTTTGCATGGTGCTGTGTCCCCCCTGGGCTCCCAGGTTCTTGGGGGGTCCTTGCTCAGGATGGTCTGTGAGGTGCCACCCTGGCCTATGGCTCTCCCACCACCTGTCCCTCTGCTGGCCACTGGGACCTGGGCCTGCTGCTCAGCCTTACCTTCTCATAGTCCTCGTCCGAGTCATCCCCGCCAGCATCAGCCTGCGAGGGTTGCCGGGGCTTTTCAAAGGAGAAGCTCCTGAAGCTCTGCCCATCTGGAGGCGATCGCCTGGAGGGCGAGGCAGGGAGACGAAGGCAGGACCATTTCACTGTCAGACACGGGGCCAGCCACCCTCTGCTCCCCTCCCCACTCCCCTCTGTGTGTGGACGGCAAGCTGCCTGCTATGGCCCCTGTGACCACAAAAGGCCCAGGACAACAGAGATCCGGGTAGGGCTCGTGCTGACTGCCCTGGGGTAGCAGGAATCGCCTGACACCTGAGTCAAGGGTCAGGGCTGCCACGGATGCTGGTAAGGGGGGCCCAGAGGCCCAAGCTCAGTGTCATCGCACCGTCAACAAGTGCTCTGGATGCTCGTGGGGAGGAGAGGTCTGGCCATGGCCAAATCACAGCCCACTCAGAGCTGCAGGGGAGTGGATGATGTGAACCGGATGAACGCAATGTGACCCCGAGGGACGACCATGGCAGAAGCCTGCACACCTCCCTGTGTGGCTAGGCGGTCCCGCTCAGCAAAGCCTCCCAGGCTCTAGGGAGGATTAACGGGGCCATGCCAGCGTGGGCGGCCAGCCTGTGGGTGAGGCTGAGCCCTGGAACCGCTTTCCCCACAGTCATGGAAAACAGTGACTTCCGAACATCTGCACCTCTGTAGCCCTTGGTGAGCCAGAACCACGAGCGTGACAAGGGCTGCTCACAGGCACTTCCACGCAGGCAGCAGGCATCTCAGAGGTGTTCACAAAGCCCTGGGAGAAGGGCACTGTGGGCATTCAAGGGTGCGCGTGCGAACAGCACCCCCACGTGAAACCTGCCCCTTTGCCTGCCAAGCAAGGCAGGAAGCCCACCTGGGGTCCCAGATGCCTCTGACCACAGCCATTGGTGTGAGTAACTCTGTGGGAGGGGGACAAACTGGTCTCCTGGCACTTCCCAGAAATAAAGCAGAAAGCATGTCAGCCAGACGCGGTGACTCACGCCCGTGATTCCAGCACTTTGGGAGGCCGAGGCAGGCGGATCACTTGAGGCCAGGAGTTCAAGACCAACCTGCCAACATAGTGAAACCCCGGTCTCTACTAAAAATACAAAAATTAGCCGGGCGTGTTGGCAGGCGCCTGTAGTTCCAGCTACTCAGGAGGCCGAGGCAGGAGAATCACTTGAACCCGGGAGGCGGAGGTTGCAGTGAGCTGAGATCGTGCCACTGCACTCTAGCCTGGTTGCCGGAGTGAGACCCTGTCTCAAAAAGAAAAAAACCCAAAGCATTCCAGCAAGCTTCAGGGCTGGGTCATGGACATGCTTCACATTCCACCAAGGCAGACTGGAGGCATCAGGGAATCTTCCTACCCCTGCACCTGGTACCCCATCGTGAGCTAAGAGTGCCAGGGGAGCGGGGTGTGTACAGTGCCCATCAGAGGCCAGGCCAGGGTCTCTGTAGCTGGAGGCAGGGCTTGCAGCCGCAACACAAACTCACTGGAGGTGGGGAAGCTGTGGCTTCTCTGGCCTGGGCAGGACTGCGGGCCGTGCCGTGGCCTCAGGCACTGGCAGCTTTAGTGCAGGAGGCCGGGGAGCCACAGGGGGCACAAAGAGTCCGGGCATGGCTGCCTCCCTTGGGGGGTCCTCTTCAGCTATCTTCAGGAACTTGGGCTTGTTGGCTGGCACAGGTGGGGGCTCAGATGTGGGTGGTCCTCGGGGGGACAGGTGGAAGGACTTGAGTTTGTCACAGTTTCTGGAGGTGGCAGTGGCCATGATGGCAGCACTGGAAGTGGAGCAGGCCCCGTGGCCAGGGGTCCAGGGCTCCGGGCTAGGGCTGGCACTCTCCCGGAAGCAAGGGGGTTTCCGGAGGCCGGGCGTGGTGGGCATGGTGCCCAGAGGGGGGTCACTCATCCTTCGGGGGGTAGCAGGTACCCTGGGGCAAGGCTCAGCCCACCTCGGGCCCAATGGCTCCCTCTTGGAGTCCTCGGCAGCTGGGCCAACATCTGGGAGGCCGTGCTTAGGGGGTGGGGGTGGCAGCAGGGGACCGGGGCCCTTGGAGGTAAAGGAGTGGGCCCGGGGCATGTCGGAGAAGGCTGGCTTCCTGGGCGTGGGCACTGGGGGTGGTGGGTAAGCCGGTGGGTGCGTCAGGGCATCTGTAGAGCAAAGAGACCCAAATTGGACCCTGACAGAGACTGAGCCAACACTACTCTCTGCTGGCAGTGGTCAGCCGTGCCAACCAGGAGTGCAGCCCGTGGTAGACCCACGCCACAGCCTGCCCACGCCACAGCCTGCCCACCCCCGCAGCCTACCCACCCCCGCAGCCAGGCCAACCAGGAGTGCAGCCCGTGGTAGACCCACGCCACAGCCTACCCACCCCTGCAGCCCAGCATCCAGGACTCCCATCCTGCCTTCCCCAGGGTCCCAGACCACCCACCACCCCCAGCCCTCCCCATTCATCCTCCCTGTGGCAGCCTGTGGACGCTTCCTGAAGCCTAGAAGACACCTGAGGAGCCATCAGGTTCACAGAGGTGGAAGGAAGTGAAAGGAAGAGAAGTCAAGGAGGATCTCAGGGCTTGGCCAGAGCGAGAGGGAGGACGGAATTCCCAAGGACAGGGGATGGGAGCAGCTGGGAGGGAGGTAAAGGCCTGTGTTTGCTGAGAACATGTCCAGAAAGCTGTGAGATGCCAGGGGATGAGGGGTCAGGGAATGTGTGCAGAGTTCAGAGGTCCCAGCTGGACATGAGTCAGAGTCGGCAGCCTGCAGATGACCCAGGCTGTCACCCAGGGAATTCGGGAGAGGAATGAGGCCTGAGTCCCAGCCATCCCTCACGGGGCCAGCACAGCAAAGAGGGCCCTGGGAGCATGGGGCGCCTGGAGGACGGGCAGGCAAGGAATAGGGCGGGCGCCAGGCTGGTGTGGCTCAGGACTGAGCGCTGGAACTGGGAATGGGGAGGCCACAGGGATCCTGGACGAGAAATGTTTTGGGGAGAGGATGGAGGGGATCCAGAGGGAGGGCGAGCAGAGCAGTAGCATGCAGGAGCACTGGTGGCTCCCAGGCCCATCTCTAGCCTCACTGGGCCACAACTCAGGGCTGGGCAGATGGAGTCCAAGCTCGCAAAGGCTGGGCCAGCCAGGCTAAGACGGGAGGCAGGAGTGTGTGGGTGAGGGGATGGGCATGGTGAACACTGTGAGACGAGAGCTCTGCATGGAGGGAAACTGAGGCAAGCAGTCCACAGATCCTGGTGGCACTGGGGCCCCAGAGGGAAGGAGGGAGGGAGCGGCAGGAGAAGAGGGGCTGGATCTGGGAGCCTGAAGGTGGGAGGGGACGGGTGGCAGAGAGGACATGGGTCGGGGACTGGGGTCGGCAGAGGCCAGGTCAGTGAGGACAGGAGGCTGGAAAACAAGGAGGCAGGGGCGAACACAGGGAAGATGGAAAGATCAAGGATCAGCCCCAGACATGAGGAAATTGACAAGATGAGGGGGCTGGAGAGATAATGGGTAGGGAAGAAGGGAGGGAAGGGACAGAGGAAGACAGAGGCATGTCCTCCCCACCCAGCTCATGCTTCCGTCATCCACATGTGACCACCTGTATCAGTCTGTCTCCATGACTAGGCCATGTGCTGCAGGAGGTAGGTAGACACTGGGATGGGATGGGGTGTGGTGGGGCAAGGACCTGGTCTGCAGCAGTGTCCACACAAGCTGGCAGCCATGGGAACATGGACCTGCCCTGAGTCTGCGTGCTCCTCAACGTCCTTCCTTCCCCATGCTCATCCCCCAGCGCCGCCCTGGCTCCACCTGCCACTTATCACCACGTGCCTGTCCTTCCTCCTGGGAGGTGGGAGGAGGAAATAAGCAGAGCCGGCAGCGGGTACACCTCTTCTGCTCCAATCCTCATAATACTTGGGCCACCACAGGGAAACAGAAGCCACCCAGAGCGGTACCTGGGCCAACATCCCTAGCCTCGGAGGGGCTCTGCTCCTGGTCCCAGCCCCTGCTTCCCACGCACCCAGAGCTCCCCAGGCCCACCCGCCCCACCTACCCTCAAGCCTTCCGGGCTCCGGGGAGTCGGGCTCCATGTAGGAGTCATCCTCGTCGTCATGCTCATAGTCTGCATGGGAGGGGCGGCGGGTGAGCGCCAAACTGGCCCAGGCCCAGTCTCCGAGCAATGCTCCATGCCTGGGGCTGAGTCTAGGAGGCAAGGGGCGAGCACCCACTGGGAGGACTGTGAGTCCAGACCCTGCTGCTGAAGGCCAGAGCCCAGGGATGCCACTGCGCTCTGCCAAAGGGCCAGAGCAAGGAGCGCAGACGAACACACCTCCCTCTCCTCCACAGCGGCCTCCCTCTCCTCCACAGCGGCCTCCCTCTCCTCCACAGCGGCCTCCCTCTCCTCCACAGCGGCCTCCCTCTCCTCCACAGCGGCCTCCCTCTCCTCCACAGCGGCCAAGAGGAGGGCTGGGCCCCTCGCTGTCGGAGGCCAGGCGGGGAGAGGCAGATGGGGAGTGGACGTGGAGAAATTCCTCACCTTCATTGTCTGTGGGGTATGGGGAGAGGCTGATATCCACAGGCCGCTCGACTGCGCCGTAGAAGCTGTCTGTGTCTGAGCTGGAGTCACTGCAATGCAGGGTGGGTTGGGGCGGACGGTGAACACCAGGCCTGGGAGGTCTCTTGATGTTCACACAAAGGTACACACAGGCACACGCAGATACACAGACAGATACACAGATGCACTCACAGATATGCTGACAGACACGCACACACGGATAGGCTGACAGACACACAGATGCACACATGGATACACTGACAGACACACAGATGCACACGTGCACACACATGCACACGTAGACATGGAGCAACACGTGGACATGCACACTCACACAAACACGCAGACATGCACACAGAGCAACACGCAGACATGCACACACACACGGAGCAACACACAGACATGCACATACAGACATGAAGCAACACGTGGACATGCACACACAGAAACACGCGGACATGTGCACACACATGGCGCAACATGCAGACATGCACACACAGACACGGAGCAACACACGGACATGTGCACACAGACATGGAGCAACACACAGACATACACACAGACATGGAGCAACACGTGGACATGCACACACAGAGAAACACGCGGACATGTGCACACACATGGCACAACATGCAGACATGCACACACAGACACGGAGCAACACACGGACATGTGCACACAGACATGGAGCAACACACGGACATACACACAGACATGGAGCAACACGTGGACATGCACACACAGAGCAACACGCGGACGTGCACACACAGACGCGGAGCAACACGTGGACATGCACACACAAAGCAACACGCAGACATGCATACACAAACATGGAGCAACACGCGGACATGCACACACAGTTACAAAGACAGACACGAGAACTGGAGGCTGTGGTGCCTCCTCTAGGCGCCCCTCCTGGCCCACAAGGATGGTCGCCCTGACTGTGCCCACCTCTCCACCTGCTCCTGCCTCAAGAAGGCTTGGGCGACTCTGAGCTGGGTCTGAGGCAGGACAGGCTGGACCAGGGGCCAGGAGCTCGGGGTCAGGCAGGGACCTGCAGGGCAGCCTTGGGTGTGCCCAGCCCTCCCTGGGCCTCCTGTCCCCACCAGTGAAAGGACAGGAAGGTTTGTTCCCTCCACACCGTCTCGGACCAGGCAGTCCCAATCCAGAGAGTAACTGCTGGGCACTGGGCCAGCTCACGGGGGAGGCTGCCAAGGCTCAGGGCATTGGGCCAGCTCACGGGGGAGGCTGCCAAGGCTCAGAATGCCCAGCAGCGACCCGCCGGGAGATTCATTCTGGTCTCACTCCGGGTGAGCCAGGATGGGTGTAGGGGGCTGGGAACCCAAAGTGCCCAGCTGCTGCTGGTGGCGGATGTATAAACACACACGATCCCCTGACAGGAACTACCCATGGCAGCAACACGGAAACAGACGTGACAAGACAGGGCTGGAGGTAGACGGAAGCAGAGAGATGCATGCACACCCATACGCGCGGCCCGGCTGGCATCTCCCGGAAACTTTTAAGGAGAGAATTCTATGCCAAGCCCGGGGCTGGGAAGCGGACACCCGGGTCAGGCCCAGGCGCCCCAGGGGCCCTCACTGCCTGGCACGCCCCGGGCCCGGGCTCACCTGGTGTCCAGGGGCAGGTCTCTCTTTTCGTGGAAGTGGCCGATCTCCCTGCGCAGCAAGGCCATCCAGCTCTGCAGGTCAGCGGGGCTACGGTGGGCACGGTGCCACCAGGGTGGGCCCCACCACACCCCTCCACCATTGCTGCCCTGCCTGCTCTGCTGTGACTCCCAAGGTCAGGGGAGAAGACCCAGCTGGATACAGCATGGCTGTGTGGCTCCCCTCAGCCCACAGGGGCACCTCCCAGGACAGCACGTTCCTTGTGTGGGCGCTGGCACCAGGCTCTGAGCATGGGGATGGGCTAGGGGCGGCACCCACCCAGCTGCCTGTGTCCTGGCCACAACTCCTCCTTGCTCGGGGCTGAGAGGCCAGAGCCCCAGCACCAGCGAGCCCCGGAGGCGGGTCCAGCCTGGTGCCTGCAGGCCCACACCCCCAGTCACCTTGCGCTCGTCCTCGGAGGAGGCCGAGAAGAACCACGTGCGGTGCTTCTTGCTGATGTGGATGATCTTGAAGGGGAAAACGTTGTTGGACGTGGTCTCCTCGGCCGCCCGCATCACCCTGGGGGCACAGTGCCAGGGGTCACAGCCTGGTTCACAGCTGTAGGGATGGCCTTCCCACAGCCCCCACCCGTGAACGCATCTCGGCACCAGCACCACGCCCCAGCGGAAGCGGGCAGATCAGGGTGGGCCCTGGCTGCTGATGCTCCCGGTACTGAGCTTCATGCCCAGGCAGGCATAAGGGGGCATGGAGGGGCGTGGAAGAGGGGTGCTGCGTGGGCTTCCTAGAAGCAGCAGTGCACAGGAGACAAGGACACACCCGCCTCGATGCCCACCAATGCCACTTTACATGGACGCCACCCTCCCACCTCTGGCCCCACTTGCCCAGGCCTGCTTGGCCTGCCTGGGGGCCCCCACAGGGCTCCGTGCCCCTGCGGCCCAGCAGCAGGCCTGCGTGCATTTCAGGGAATGACTCGTGGCTGCTCTGTGGCCCACTCACACAGCCAGAATGTGGGGTTTGCACCGAGATCACAAAGTGTATCATGTGGGGAGCCCTGCTGGTCAGGCACCGGGGCAGGTGCACTTACATGGCCCATAAGAGAGCCTGGCCAGAACCCCTCAGGCCAGCATTCCCTGATGGGCTAGACAATTCCCCGGGGCATGACTGCATCTGCCACTGGGCCCAGGATTCACGGCATGGCTGGCACATGCTAGAGGCCAGAAGGTACTGTGTCTGCCTGTGGAAAGGGAATGACTTTCCCCAGGGGACTCCAGAGCTCTGTGCCAGCCTGGGGACCTGGCACTGGGCTGGGTGCTCTGGCAAGGCTGCCCTACCAGGCCTGTGGCCAGGGTGCAGGCCAGGGCCTAGAGTCACTCCGAAGGCCCCAGTCCCGCTACCGACACCATGTGACCCTTGATTCCTCATAGGCAGGAGGGGCTGAGCCCTTAAGGGGTGCTAAGAGGCATAGATGAATGCTGTGGGGTGCAGGGCTCTGGCGGGGTAGCACCCAGAACCAGAGCTGGGTGCCAGCATTAACTCTCTGCGTGGGCCCCAGGCCATAGGCTGTGCCAATGCACTCCCCCACCCACCTGTCACCTGGCCACCACCCACCTGCCACCTGGCAACCGCCCACCTGTCACCTGGCCACCACCCACCTGCCACCTGGCCACCGCCCACCTGCCTGTTAGTGCAGAAGGCCCTCCAGGGCACCTCACGGCCCATCATTGGATAGAGCCCAGCCCAGGACATGTGTGAAGCTGGAAACTGATCCCAGCCTGGGAGGACCCTGAAGCAGGGGATCCTGGGGTCAGGCCTGAGTTTGGGACAGGGCGTGGGCTGGCTGGGGTCTGGGCTGCCTGGAAAGAGGCCATGGTAGGTGAAGGGGCAAGGCTGGCAGGGGGGAAGGATGCAGAAGTCACTGGGTGGTGACCAAGTGGAGACTCTGGAGAGCAGGCTGTCCAGGCCCCTGTGACCTGTGCACGAAGCCACAGGAAGATTCTGGCACACCCAAGGTCCTAGGCCTGGGGGCAGGACATATGGAGAGGGCGAGGCACCATGGAGGCTAGGCAGGGAGGGCAGGGGATGGGCACGAAGGCTGCTTCGGGAAAGCACTTTCCTTTAGGCCCAGCCAGGGCTCTGCTGGGAGGGACCCGCTGGCTGTGCGGGCCCGAGGTCAGCAGGCAGGTTGGGCACTTACCGGTTATAGCCACTCAGGGAGAAGGCACCCTGCGGGGAGGCGGAGGTGCTGCTCTTGAAGTAGTAGACGCAGCGTTTGTGGATGATGACAAAGCGCAGGGGCCCTGTGGGAGATGGCAAGGGCAGGAGGGTGAGCCTGGAGGGGTGGTTGCCAAGACCCCCTGTGAGGACCTTCCCCAGGGCAACTTGGGGCCAGGCCTCCTGCCTCCAAGCCTCGCCAAAGGGAAGAGCAGGGAGCAAGGTAGGCATGCTGCCCCCTCCCCAGGAGCCCAATCTGGGGCCAAATAAGGAAAAATGTGTGGGCACACTGGCTAGCCCGAGCGCCACTCGAAGGCAGGCCTGGCTGCCCACAAAGAAGGGGTAGATGTGGGAGGCTGTGTGGAGCCACCACGAGGAAAGGCAGAGCCAGGACCAGAGGCCCAGGGAGGCCACAGCTGACTTGCTAGGTGCTGCAGGGCTGCTGGAGGCTCCCTCTACATCAGAGCTGAAAGAGGGGGACTAAGGCTGGGTGCGGTGGCTCACATCTGTAATCCCAGCACTGTGGGAGGCCAAGGTGGGCAGATCACCTGAGGTCAGGAGTTTGAGACCACCCTGGCCAACATGGTGAAACGCCAGCTCTATTAAAAATAAAACATTAGCCGGGTGTGGTGGCGCATGCCTGTGATCCCAGCTACTCAGGAGGCTGAAGCAGGAGAATTGCCTGAACCCAGGGGTGAGAGGTTGCAGTGAGCCAAGATCACGCCACTGCACTCCAGCCTGGGTGACAGAGTGAGACTGTCTCTAAAAATAAAAGATGGGGTGAGCCTGAGCAACATATGAAACCCTGTCTCTACAAAAAATACAAAACTTAGCCGGACATGGTGGCATGCATGTGCAGTTCCAGCTACTTGGGAGGCTGAAGTGGGAGGATCACTTGAGCCCAGGAGGTCGAGGCTGCAATGAGCTATGTTCGCACCACTGCACTGCAGTCTGGGTGACAGAGCGAGACATAAAAATAATAAACAGGCCAGGCACGGTGGCCCATGCCTGTAATTCCAGAACTTTCAGAGGCTGAGACGGAATCAGCCGAGGTCAGGAGTTCGAGACCAGGCTGACCAACATGGTGAAACCCAGTCTGTACTAAAAATATAAAAATTAGCTGGGCATGGTGGCACACACCTGTAATCCCAGCTACTCAGGAGGCTGAGGCAGAATCGCTGGTACCTTGGAGGTAGAGGTTACAGTGAGCTGAGATCACGTCACTGCACTCCAGCCTGGGCAACAGAGCCAGATTCCATCTCAAAAAAATAAATTAATTAAAAATAAAAATAGGCCGGGCGCGGTGGCTCAAGCCTGTAATCCCAGCACTTTGGGAGGCCGAGACGGGCGGATCATGAGGTCAGGAGATCAAGACCATCCTGGCTAACACGGTGAAACCCCGTCTCTACTAAAAAATACAAAAATCTAGCCGGGCGAGGTGGCGGGCGCCTGTAGTCCCAGCTACTCGGGAGGCTGAGGCAGGAGAATGGCCGGAACCCGGAAGGCGGAGCTTGCAGTGAGCTGAGATCCGGCCACTGCACTCCAGCCTGGGCGACAGAGCGAGACTCCGTCTCAAAAAATAAAAAAATAAAAAAATAAAATAAAATAAATAAAATAAAATAAAAATAAATTAAAAATAGGCTGGACGCGATGGCTCACACCTGTAATCCCAGCACTTTGGGAGGCCAAGGTGGGTGGATCGCTTGAGTTCAGCAGCTCCAGGCCAGCCTGAGCAACATAATGAAATTCCATCTCTACAAGAAACTTAGAAAAAATTAACAGGGCATAGTGGCATGCCTATAGTCCCAGCTGAGGGGACCACCTGAGCCTGGCAGGTTGAGGCTGCAGTGAGCCATGATCGTGCCACTACACTCCGGCCTGGACAACAGAGCAAGACCCTGTCTCAAAAAAACAAAGTAAAAGAGGGAGACTCAGGAGCCCAGAGAGTTTGCCAGTGAGGGCCACTGGTATGGGGCCACCCCTAGGTGGAAAGTTACACTGAAACCACCCCAGCTCCACTGCCCCAGCCCTGAGCTGCGCCTCCCAGGCTGGGTGACAAGCCAGTTACAGCTCCTCCAAGGAGGCTGTCTGTGCAAAGAGGAGAGTAGCTCAATCAGTGCCCTCAAAGGAACGAATCAGTCCAGCCTGGACATCTCAACCAGGTGGCCCGGCCAGGGAGCCCCTGGCAGAGAGTACTGCTACTGCAAAGGCACGCAGCACCTGCTGCTCAGGCCCTGATGCTCTTGGCCTTCAGTATCTCAGCATTTGGGCATCTCCTGAGCCTGAGGGCTGCTTCTTCCTCTCAGCCAGCTGTCCTGGGGGCCAGAGCCTGGGTCTTGTGCAGCTCCAGAGGTCCAGCACCCAGCCAGGACTTGACACATAGGTTCACTGTGGGCCAAATGACCAACTAACTCGCTGAACACTCACGGATTTGGTGAGGGCAGCACCAGAGGCCAGACCTACCTGGCCACCTGTGGTCCCTGGGTCCTGGCTGCAGGCTGCAGCTCCCCTTGCCAGCTGGCCAGCAGTGTGCACCACCCTGGACCCTGCTACAGTCCTGGGGCTAGGGAGGTCAACCTCTGGTTCTCCAGGGGTGCCAGCCACCAGAGAGGGAACGGGAAAATCCAGAGGGCCCACCACGTGAGGAAGCAGAGGCTCAGACAGGATGCTCACATACACGGCCAGCCCTGCCCCCACGCCCTCCCTCTGTGCTCCCTGCCACCCTGGAGACTCACATCTGAGCAGCTGCAGCTGGGTACCACCCTTCTTGTGCAGGTAGCCAGCCTTGGCCACGCCCCCAGGCATGGTTAGCAGGTTCTGGGCACCAATGGCTTTCATAGGGACAGGCCAATGCATCTCTTCAGCCGCCATGAAGCTGCAATAAAGAACAAAGGCACGAGGCTCAGCTACGGTCAGGCAGGAGATGGCTGAGCCAGGGCGCTCATGGGGACATTGCCAAGATCCAGGACACAGCATGGAGGGTGGGGCCATGACAGGCAAGGAAACCCCTTTTCTGAAGGCCTTGGGCTTCCAGGTGGGACCCCAAGGAGAGACAGATCCACCTGGTCCACTCAGTCAGCCCCTGGTCCACTCGGCCACACACCCAACCCCAGGATCCTGGGGAAAGCGCTACGTGCAGCCCTTTCTCTCCACTGGTTCATTCTGCACACAGCAACTGAGTGCAAGGCCCTGTGGGGGCTGGGTAGAGATGAAAGAACTCAGAAAACCCCAGCCCAGGTAAGTCAGACTTCAGGCCATAAGTACTTCAAGTCCCAGTGCCAGATGATCCTATAAGGAGCCTAGACAGGAAGAAGGCAAGTGAGTAGCCAAGAGCCCCCAGTTCCCAGGTCAAACCACCCGGACTCCCGTCCTGGGAGAACCCAAGACTCAGCTGCTGGAGGACAGAGTGGATACCCAGCCCAGCACACAGCACACTGTGGTCAGCAGTGGCCGTGACCACCATTTGGTGGGTTGGTTGCTATCCACCCCACCAGCCCAGGATATCACTGCCATTCCCTCTAAGCCTGAGCAAGGACCACACAGTCAGTGGAGGACCAGTGACTGCCTTAGGGCTAACCCAGGCCCACCAGACCCAACGTCATGCCCTGCCCCCTACTCCAGCCCCCCTTACTCATGCTCCAGCTGCTCTCCTTGAGATCCACCATGCTGTTTAATGCTTCCTCCTCTGCCTGAAATGACCTCCACCCCTTCCCATGCAGAGAACTTCTACTCATCCATCAAGACCCAGGTTGAGAGTCTCCTCTTCTGCTAGGCACCCTCACTGCCCACTTAAATCCAGCATCTTCCTCACCTCTGATCCCAGTGAACAGTACCCCCACCCTGCATTGTTTGGTCTGTGCCTGCCCTCATTCCATCCTGGGTAGGTCCCTCCTGGGGCCCCAGTGGAGTTGGATGGGAGCAGACCTGTGGCCAGTGTCCTGTTAAGCCCTTAATGGAGCAGCTAAGGTCAGACCCAGATGCCCAGTGGGGCTGGGACTGGTTCCACTACAGCTCCAACCCCAAAAAACACACATAAAGAAAACTAAACCAGGGCAACATAGAAAGACACCATCTCTAAAAAAAAAAAAAAACAATTTTTTTTTAAATCAATCAGGCATGGTGGGGCACATCTGTAGTCCCAGCTGCTCTAGGAGGCTGAGGCAGGAGGATCACTGGAGCCCAGGAGTTTGAGGCTGCAGTGGTCTATGATCATACCACCACACTCCAGCCTGGGCAACAAAGCGAGACACTGTCTCTAGAAATAAATAAAACAGCCAGATACAGTGGCTCACGCCTGTAATCCCAGCACTTTGGGAGGCCAAGGCAGGCAGATCACTTGAGCTCAGGCGTTCAAGACCAGCCTGGGCAACATATAGAGACCACCATCTCTAAAAAATAATTAGCTGAGCTTGGTGGTGCACACCTATAGTCCCTGCAGGAGGCTAATCCAGGAGGATCTATAGAGCCAGGAGTTCCAGGAGGCAGTAAGCTATGATTGGCCACTGCTCTCCAGCCTGGGCAACAGAGCTGGAGCTAAAAATAAAAAATTAAAAACAAAATAAATAAAAAGAAAAGTACTCTCCGCTTTTAGCAAACCAGCACAAGTGCAAGAGGAAGTCTCCAAGGCATCAGGCTGTCTTTTGCCGGCCTCGGCCTGGGTCACCCGGCTGGACCCCACCAGCTCCTTCTGCACCCAAAGCCAGCCCCTCTGGGCGGGTCCCAGCCGCAGGGCCCCCAACCACAGGCCAAGGTTTGGAACAAAGGCGCCGCCACACCCCAGCGCTCGCTCTACCGCGCTCGGCCCGAGGGAGCTCCACGCAGTGGGGATGGAGGAGGAAGCCCCGTGCCCGGTCCGCCCGCGGAGAGCTGCCCGCAGACCGACAAGCCCCGTGCCGGCCTGAGCCCCCCACCCGCCAGCTGGGACAGTCCACGCCCGCCTTTGTTCCCCCAAGAAGCGCGTGGGCGACCAGCAGCGCCCGGGGCTCGCGGCCCGGGTCCAGGGGGTCGGGGTGCGGAGTCCAGACCCGGAAGCTAGAGGCCCGCGTCCCGGAGTCGGGGCCGGTGCTCGGTGCTCGGTACTCACGGCGTCCACGCGGCAGGCACGGCCGGCTTCCCCGGGGCTGTCCACGCCCGCCTCCCCTGCGAGCACCGGCACGGCCCCGGGCCGCGCCCCCCGGCCGCCGTCGCCTCATCCCCGGCGCCCGCCTCCCGCCGGCCCCAGCTCCGCGGCCGCGGCCCGGAGCCCGCCATGCCCGCCGCGCCCGCCGGCCCTGGCCCGGCAGCCGCCGGCTCCTCCCCTCTCGGCGGGGGACGGGGCGGGCAGGTGAGGATCCCGGGCCCGCCCCTCCCAGCACCGCCCCCTGCTGCGTCACCGTGCGCGGCCGCCCCCTGCAGGCCTCAGTTTCCCCACGCTGCAAGGAGGGTGGTGGGCGCTGGGGACAGGAGGCCCACATCTGTCGGTGCAGCCTGGAATCAAGAAGTCTTCGATGCAAACGAAGCCTCCTGCTCCACTCCCCCAGCACCTGCGAGTCCACACAGCTTGGTTGGAAATCCACGGCGGGCACGAGAGCCTCGGCTCTGAGGCCCTGCCCAGGTCCCATCTCGTCGTGCCCTTGTGACCAGCTCCCTCGGGAAAGTGGCCTCTGTAAAAGGGCACCTGCACGGAGGGCGGCAGCAGGGCAAGGGATCTGGCACGTGCCCCACCCTCACCTCAGCTTCCTTCGGGACTCCATGGGCCTTCAGCCCCAGATTCCCCAAGGAGCCAGGGGTCTGGTCCTTGGCACCTCCCACCTGCTTGCCCATACGCAGGCGCCTCACCCAGGAGAGTCCCCTGGGATGGCAAAAGGCCAGCAGAGGCCCTTGCTGGCCTCCCAGGCATCCTGCCTCCTCCATCTTCCACCTGCACACAGGCTGCCACTAAGATGGACCAGGTACAGGTGTGGCTCTATAAGCCTGGGCCTGACCCCACCTAGCTGTCCATCTGGGGCACCCACCCTGGTTTCAAGGCCCCACCTCAGGCCCACTCTCTGGGCTTCCCACTGCACCCAGCCTTCAAGGCTCTGTCCCATCTCTGTGCCCTTGTCTGGCCTGCCTCAAGGCTCCCACCTCCTTCCAGCCACCGTGCCGGGCCCCTCTCCATTGCCTCTTGGCAGCCCCCTCCACTTCCTCTCCTCAGGCCTCCTGGGCCTCCAGCCCCCCACCCAGCAGAGAATCAACATGCACACCATTCCCATCACTGCTCAGTGCTAAACCTCTACGGCCTCCTCATGCCAAACTGGCCCTCCCTGATTCAGTCACTCCTGCCCTCTACCTTCTGTGCTCCTATGCCAGCCGGACCCTACGGCTCCAGTTACCTGAATCAAGCAAACACCCACTTGCAGGCCTCAGCCCATGCTGTTGCCACAGCCTAAAGTTGAAATTGAACTAACTCAGCCCTCAAAAGTTGGCTCAAAAGAACACGGCTCCTTCACAAATTTCCAGAAAATAGAAGAGGAGGGGAACTCATTCTATGAGGCCAGCATTATCCCAATACCAAAATCAGACAAAGCCATCACAAATAAACTACAAACCAATATCCCTTATGGATATAGACATAAACATCCTCAACAAAATACTAGCAAACTGAATCCTGCAACATATAAAAGGGATTCTACACCAAGACCAGTGGAATTTATCCCAGGAATGCAAGGATGGTTTAATATTCAAAACAATGAATGTAATACACCATATCAATAGAATAAAGGACAAACAACCACATGATTTTGACAGATGAAGAAAAAGTGTGACAAAATTCAACACTCTTCCATGATAAGAACAGTCAACAAACCAGGAATAGGAGGGAACTTCCTCAATCTGATAAACGGATCTGTGAAAAACCCAAAGCTAACATACCTAGTGGTAAAAGACTGAAAGCTTTGCCCCCAAGAACAGGAACAAGTAAAGAATGTCTGCTTTACTTCTATTCAGCATAGTACTGGAGATTTTGACCAAAGTAATTAGGCAATAAAAAGAAATAAAAGGCATCTGGAATGGAAAGGAAGAAGTACAATTATTCACCGATTAGATTATTTTACATACAGAATATTCCAAGGAATCCACTTAAAAATTATTAGAATAGCCAGGCGCAGTGGCTCACGACTGTAATCCCAGCACTTTGGGAGGTTGAGGCAGGTGGAATACCTGAGGTCAGGAGTTTGAGACCAGCCTGGCCAACATGGTGAAACCCCATTTCTACTAAAAATACAAGGTGGCAGGCACCTGTAATCCCAGCTGCTCGGGAGGCTGAGGCAGGAGAATCGCTTGAACTCAGGAGGTGGAGGTTGTAGTGAGCCGAGATCGCGCCATTGCACTCCAGCCTGGGGGACAAGAACGAGATTCCATCTCAAAAAAAAAAAAAAAAAAAATAGAGTAAATGAGCAGCAAGGTGGCAAGATACAAGATCGACATACAAAAATCAATTCTATTTCTATATACTAGCAACAATCCAAAAATGAAAGGAAGAGTTAGTTCAAGCGTTCCCTCTTCCAGGCAGTCTCCCATAACCTCTCTGGAGTCCTGTGTCCCTCCCTTGGAGCGAGCATAGCCTTCTCTGCCCCTAACACTGACCACACTAGGTGGTCATTGTCTCCCATCCTCACCAGCTCAGATCCAGCCTAGAGGGGAAACCCAGGGAGCCCACAAAGAAGGATGGAATGTTCATCCCGTGGGTGACGGGGACTGCAAGTTTCCTGGAAGGCACAGGAAGCTGAAACAGAGCCCCTACCCTGGGGCATCACTCCCCACTGGACCCCTGCCACCCAAAAGCTTTAAGAAGACGTGGCCTGTGTGTTGAAGTGGGAGGAGCCACTGTGAGGACAGATGAAGCCCACCACCTCCTCCTGGCTCCACACCTGGACAAGGCTCAGCAGGAAGAGTTACAGGGACAGGTTACAGTCCTACATGGGTCCAGCTCAGTGGTCAGGTAGGGGTAGACCTGTGAGGGGCTCGTTCCTGCCTGGCTGCTGTCCTGCTGTGGGCAGGATGAAGCCTCCTAGGTGATCATCAGCTGACCCTGGGCAGGAGGGCAGGTCATGACAAGGTCAGGTCATGGGGCACCCTCACCTCCCCTGGGAATTCCTCACTTCAGGGATAGACACTGACACCCGCAGCCCCTCTCCAGAGGAGGGACCATTCAAGGGGAAACCCACCCCTGCCACCCTACTAGCCTCTGCCCCACCTGGCCCTGCTATGTGCCAGGGGATGGTACCTGCCCAGGAGCCCAGTGCCAGGCCAGGCTGAAAGCAGAAAGGGGAAGTGTCGGCTGAGGCTGAGGGTGACGATGGGCCATGGAGGCCGTGGTGACCATACTACTCTTGGGGAATCTCTGCCCAGCTCACAAACTTCAGCTCCACCTGTGCTCGGGAAAGCCAAGGGCCATCCCCAAGGAGCACCCACACTCCTAGTTGGCCAGGACTCCCTGGCTGCGCTTCTCAGTGCCCAGCCCCTCTTCCAGGGACCTGATGGTTAAATTCCATTCATTCATTCCAGGGGACTCCACAGGCCTACTTGCCAGCTCTCTGGGTGCTTCAGTCCCTTCCTCTGTAGAGGCAGACACCCTGGTGGGGACCTGTCACCATGCTGCTGTGGTGTCGGCTGAGTTAACATGGGCAGGGGCTGTGAGGGAGAGTGCCGAAGACCTGGGTTCACATCCTCCCCGGGGCCCTTCTTCCACTGAGCTCCCACCTCCTCCAATGTAAAGTGGGTATGGAGGAGTCCACTCTCAGAGTCCCCTGACACCTCTGCAGCTGCTCTCTGGGGCAGGGCTCTGAAGACACATGGGCCAGCGTTGGGTGGCCAGAGCTGGTGGTGGCTGCTGGGCTCCATGAGCCCTTCCAGAAAGTATGTGATCTTTGCGTGTGTGCACACGTGGGGATATGCATCTGAGCTTGTAGACTTGTGCGTGTGTGTGGATGTGTGCACATGCACATTAGGGAAGGCGGGGCACCTGGGATACACTGTCCAGGTCTCTGTTTCTGTGTTTCTCTCCCTACCTTCTCTCAATGTTGCAATTGCTTCAGGTGACCCAAAGGCCTGAGGCTGCTGGTGTCGGGGGCAGAGCAGGCAGGTAAAAAGTGCTCAGCCCCACAGAGACACCCCATCAGGTTCCACTTAATGCAGGCTCTGTGGCTCCCACCACCCTGGGGCCCCATGAGCCCTGAGGCGTGTGTGGTCATGGCCCGTGCAGGCCCTCATGTGCGCTGTGTCTCTGCACACCCAGTTAATGTCACAGGTGGTGCACTCACACAGGACGTGCACATGAGCTACACGGCTCGCTTGCACACGGGCGTGAGCCCCTGCATGAGAGCAGGGTGGGGGCTCTGGAAGGCTGGGCTCCTGCAGGATCATCCTGGCTGTGGTAAGGGAGCCAGCACCTCATGTGACCGTAGGGTCAAGGACTTACTGTTAGTGGTGACGAGGTTGGCCCCATTTGTGGGAGTCAGAGGGCAAGTTGGGGCTGGGGAGCCAGCCCAAAGGGAGAAGATACCAGGTCACCCTGTGCACTTATTCACACACTCATGTATGCGCATGCTGTCACACTCACGCATGTACACTTAACACTCACATATACATGCACTTATTCTCCCACATGCCCACTCGCTGTCATATGTTCTCATACACGCTCATACACTCACATGTCTACTCATATGTGCGCACGCACACCCATATGTATACTAATATACACATTCATCACACTCACTCATGCACATGCAAGCACCCATTTACACACACACACACTCCAAACACCAACAAGACCTGGCATGTGCAGTCTTCAGCATCTCAGTGTCCTGCAGCCTGCGTATGGAATCGTCACCACCACTCCCAGCGGCCAGGGCCCAGTGCCAAGCTGCACCTCACACTCACTAAATCACCCAGGGTCCACCAGAGCTCAATATTTTACTTCTATTTTGCAGACTCAGGTATAGAGGCTGGGAGAGGATCAGGCCTTGTGCCAAGTGCACTGGGCACTCCCTGTGGGCCAAGCTCTGGGCTTCTCAGTGATCGCCTCATCATCCAACACCTTGAGCTTCAAACCAGAGTCCTCCCTAAGTCACTGACGAAGAAACTTGGCCAAAGTCACACAGCCAGTAAATGGTGGCTCAAGCACCACCCCCGGCCCAGCACAGCCACTGGCCCAGTTTGGCGCACAGTGGGTGGCCAGTGGCGGGGGTGGGATGCGCAGATGGGGCGGCTTCCACCGCGGAGCCCTGGCTGCCCTGCCTCCCCACAGCTGTTTGCTCTTCCCTTTCGGTTTCCCTCGTTTCCTTCCTCTTCCCAGAATCTTTCTCTGTTAACATAATCAAAACCAAAATTTTCCCGTAAAGGCCCAGTAACCAGCTACGCCGGAGAAGCACTGCCGGCTAGGGGAAGGGTGGCACAGCCTGGGGTTCCTGAGCACAGCCCCAGCCTGGCAGTCCCTGAGGTCCCTGTGGGTCCTCCACAATGCATCAGGTTTCAGAGCATGGCACTCCCCAGGTGGGCAGCAGGGACCTTGTGCAGTTCTCTCTGTCCCCCACACACAGAAACACACACACTCACACACAACATGTGTGTACTTAGGACCCAAACACCAAGGCCACCCTGCAGGCTGTATCCCAGGAAGTTCCAGACCCAGGCCCCACCCCAGTAGGCTGGCCCCCACCTCCCTATCGGCCACACGTGACGGGGGTGGGTGAGGGGTGTTCTCACATCACATTCCCTCTCTGGGCTCCCCCTGTGCCTGTCCAGCTCAGGGGCCACTCAAACCAGACAGAGACCACTCTCCTCAGAGCCTGTTGCCTTCTGCAGGCCCAGGGCCAGCTCCTGTGGGCCCCCATGGCCAACCCCGAGGAAGGCTGTGGCTCCCATGTGGGGCCCCCTTACTGGTTCTTCAGGTGCTAGACCAGTGCCGCCTCCCGAGCCCCCAGTCCTGGGGCCGCCCCACTGACCTGATGGTGCTGACCCAACACATGGGCCTCCGTCCTCGTGACCTGCTCAGGGCCGGTGTCCTGGGGCCCAGGGAGGCCATGTGGCTCAGGGGCCACCAGCCCAGGCAATCTGCATCTCCCAGACATGTGAGGCCTGACGCGCCTGGCTGCCCCACAGCTGTGCCTACAGCTCACTCCTGCTGCATCTGAGGCCTGTGGCCACCAGTGCTTCCTCCCCACCCGGGACTTCCTGTTCCCTGCTCCCTGGGCAGCACCAAGTAGCTGGCACTTCCTGCCTTCTGCCCTGGGAGGTCCTGAAAGTTGCCTGGGGCCCAGGGTTGCCCCTCATCCACAATCCGGGTTTTAGCCCCTGCCTTCCACTGCTCCTGCCCTCCCATCCTGTGGTCAGAGACCAGGGATCTCTGGCTCCAGCACAAGGCCAGCTGCACCCCTGGGAGGAAGCTCCCTGCTGCCTCCCCCCACGGCCACCTCTGCATACTCGGCTTCTCCCTAGCAAACCATGAAACAACTTGCACCCTGGGTGTCAGGCCCAGCACAGAGCAGCATTTACAGCACACACAGGGATGGGGTCACCTTACCAGCACGTTCCTCCTGCCAGGGCAGCCACTGCCGTCTGCTCTGCCATCTGAGGCCACACAGAGCGCTGTTATGTTCTGTGAATTTAAAGGTGGCCACCTCTGTGCCCTTTGACACCAAGGGACTGAGGGACTAGGCCTGGGCTCCGGCACTTCTCAATTCCCACCCCACCCTCAGTGTTTTCGTGTCCCCGCACCCACACCAGCTCTGCTGATACCTGGTTTGCTAGAAAGCACATTATGGCTGAGTGGCAAAGCACGCTCCCGTACTCACCGGCCCCTGCCCCAGGGCCTGCTCAGAATCCCGCTCCTCCCAGGGCTGCTCTGCCCCCACCAAGCTCAGTGCCCTGTCCAGGCCCAGAGCCGGGAAGGGGGGAACGGGGATTCTACCCGCTGGGTGCTGAGCGCCCTGCCGCTCCTCCCAGAACTTGCCCAGGGAGGACGGAACCCCTGGGCAGAGGTAGCTGGAGAAAGGGGCTTTCTGGGGCCTGGGACCACCCTCACAGCAGGATTTGAGGGTGACAGAGGCCACAGAGCACAGGGCCACAAAGTTGCAGGGGCCTCATCTTGCCCACCAGGCTTCCTAGGGCACGGCCCCCTGAATCCAGGCTCCCAACAAACCCTGGACCCCAGCCCCATAACCAGCTGTGCAGGTTCCAAGCTGTCCCATAGGCCTAAGTGTCAAGTCAAAAAGGGCAGCTCCCAGGCTAAGAAGCCTCCGTCTCCCCAGCTGTATCTGCAGCCCCAGCCCTACTGCCAAGGCCCCTAGAGGACCATTTGGGCTGCAGACCTCCTGCTATCTCGTAGAGGGTGAGGAGCTTGGGCTTTTAGGCCTGGGGCCTCCTTAGCAAGGGCACAGCCCATACACAGCCACCCTGGCGTCCCCAGCCTGCGCCAGCCTCAGTCCCCTCAGGTGGCCAAGGGCAGACCACACCTTCAGCAGAAGGCTCGCCACAGCAGGCAGACAGACAGAGGGCAGCAAGGCGGGCACGGACAGAGTGGGCCTCTTCCCATTCTCCTTCCTCCTTGCAGCAGGGTTGAGATCAAACAGCAGGTGAGGAACTCCTGGGCCACGGCCCAGCCTGGACGATGAGGCAGGCAGTTCTCAGACAAAGTCAGGGCTGCAGGGTCCAGAGGAGGGGCCAGGCCCTGTGCGTGCTGGACCAGCTTTGATGGAGGAGGAAGAGTTTGCTGGCAGGGGATGGGGTGAGGGAGCCACAGGAGGAAGGGGCTTGGGGTGAGCAGCCCCAGGGTTGGGAGGAATCCACAGGCAATGAGGTGGCCAACGCACAGCTTCGGGGATGACAACCCGTGAGGATAAGAACCCAGAGGCAGCGAGCGGTCTCAGGAACACGCCACCCCTCACTGGACAGGCAAATGCAAGAGCGAACAAGGCCTGAGCTGGAAGCAGGGGCCAGGCTCGCCCCTGCCCTTGCTCCGCCAAAAGCCCCACACTCATAAACTCAGCAGAGGCGGAAGCGAGCAAAAGCCCCACCCACCGTGGCCCAGGCCCATCCCCTGCAACCCTGGTCCAGTGCTGTGATGCTACAGGGGGATGCTACAGAAGGAAGCTGGAGCTGGGAGTCCTGGGCTGCGGGGTGACCTCTGCAGACCCCTCCTTCTGGGCCTTAGCTTCTCCAATTGCTCTCTCACCTCCCCTTCATCCCTGCGGCATATGACACTACCGTTCATATTCCTAAACACAGGCCATTCTCCCCTCCTCAACTGTGGCCACTCCTTGACCTTTACCCTGTGCCGGTAACCATGGAGATGACCCCACGCCTGCATCCAGGCAGGGGGTGTGTGCAGCGGGGCCTGGCTGGGGCTGCCTCACTGGGCAGCCCTGGTGTCCCTCTCCATCCTTCCCTAGTTGCAGGTGCTCCCCTGCCCTGAGCTGGTGCCTCAAACTGCCAGGCTTGAGGACTTCCCACCACGCCAGACACAGGGCACTTACCAGGATGAGTGGGAGCCAGCCGGCAGGGCAGGCAGAGGGCCAAGGGTCAGCCTGAAAAAAAGAGGTAGGGAGTGTTCACTGGGTTCTGGAGGCCTTCAGCCCACTCAGGAGTAACGCAAACACCCAGCACAGTGGGTGGTGTCTGCAGCCACCACGGAGCTGGCCCTGCCCTGGCACCTCCTGCCTCACAGCCCCTGCCTCATCTCAAGGCTCACAGCCCAAGAGGACAGTCCTGTTGCCATCTGCATCTCTGGGGTTCAGAGAGGAAGCTAGGGAACAGTGGCATGGGGACTGGCATCCAGGGACCCTATACCCAGCCTGGTGCCTGCTTGCCGCCTTCAGGAGAGGCTCAGGTGCTGAACATGTCAAGGAGGGTCTGCTGAGCTCAGGGAGGGCACTGAGCCCAGGGGTGGGAGGGAGGGCACTGAGCCTGGGGGAAGGTGGACACTGAGCCCAGGGGAGGGAGGGGAGGAGCACTGAGCCTGGGGGGAAGGTGGACACTGAGCCCCAGGAGAGGGTGGGTGGGACACTGAGCCTGGGGGGAGGTGGACACTGAGCCGGGGGTGGGAGGGAGGGCACTGAGCTGGGGAAGGTGGACACACACTGAGCCCGGGGGTGGGAGAGGAGCGGCACTGAGCCTGGGGAAGGTGGACACTGAGCCAGGGTGGGACGGAGGGCACTGAGCCTGCGGGGAAGGGAGGACACTGAGCCCAGGGGAGGGAGAAGGAGGAGCACTGAAAAGAGGCTGGGGGAGGTGGAAGCACCACAGGGAAAATCTGAGCCCAGGGGAGGGAGGGAGGGCACTGAGCCTGGGGGAAGGTGGGCACCCCCACAGGGGAAAATCTCAAGCTCTCAAAATAAGATGTTTTGCATGAGCCCCTCCCATAGGGCCTGGGTCCACTCCACAGCCAGCCCTGGGACCCTCCCAGACTCTCCCCAGCCAGAAGCCCCTTCCCTCCCTGCCCCATTCTGATTGCTGTCCTGTGATGTGGGACCAGGAGGATTCCCGGGAACTCAGACTGGGCACTACCCAAATGGGGCAGAGGGAGAGGGCACCCTAGAAAGCAGGAGCCTGCCTGGGGTCACATGGTGTAGTGGGCTGAATGGGGGCCCCCAAAAGCTTTGTCCACATCCTAATCCCCAGAACCTGTGAACACCTTATTTGGAAAAAGGATCTTAGATGTAATTAAGTTAAGCAGCACATCCTGGATTGACCAGGTGGGCCCTAAACCCAATGGCAACTGTCCTGTAAGAGATGGAGTAGAAGAAGACACCTGGAAAGGACCCTGTAAGGATGGAAAAGAGGCTGGAGGGATGTGGCCACATGCCAAGGGCACCAAGGATCACCGGCCACCGGCAGAAACTGGGTGGGGAGGAAGGGGCTTCCCCAGCGTCACTGGGGCAAGGTGGCCCTGTAGACCCCTCAGCTTTGGACTTCTGGCCTCCGGAACCATGAGAGAGCACATTTCTGTTGTTTTCAGGCCCCTCGTGTGTGGAGCTTTGTTAGGGCAGCCCAGGAAATGAATCCACACAGAGACTCACCTGAGTCCTTCCCCAGGATGACCTGCAGACTCCACTTAGTCTGATCGCCAGTGTGGGTGTGCCTGTCAGGGAGAGGCAGGCTCCACAAGGCTGTGACCAGCTGGACGGGCACTGCTGAGCTCGCCTCCGCAGATGCCCACAGCCTCCCGAAGGCTAGGCTCTCCACCTCCCACCCTCCTGCACACAGGGTCCACCAGCCTCACCTGCCACACCTGACCCACCCCCACCAGGCTTGCTGACCCCACCTCCTGGCCTCACGTTCACCCCTTTGGCCTGCCCTTCCTTGGCTCAGGCCGCATCCACCACGGTGCAGCGGCAACGTTGGTTCCCTGTCCAAGTGGACAGGGTGCAGCGCCTGCTTTCCCTTCCTGCCCTGGGCCCCCGACGCTGGACCTGTCATGCACTTGCCCCATCCTGGCACCTGCAGTCACCTCCACATGGAAACTAAATGCTCCCTCATCCTTTGAGGACGGAACCATCTAGAACCTTGCCCCCTTCTCTGAAATCTCCAAGTCAATGGCACCGTTCTGCCACCAGCATCACCCCATGTGTCCCTGGCACTCCCCACGGGTCCAAGTCCCACTGAATCCCCAAGGCCCAGGTAGGCACCTGGCCCGTGGCAGGACCCAAAAGAAGGACAGACAAACAGATGAGTTCACTGTCATGTCCACACATGAGGCCAGACCTTGCGAGGTTGTAACCAGTACATTCTTCAGAGGTCAGAGTGAAGAAATTATGACTTCGTGCTAATCGGACTCTCAGCGAGAGAGGTTTTCAAAGAACTGGTGTGCAGCACGGCCGCAGCTGAGGCCCTTCCACACCCCTGGACCTCTGCCCAGTGAGACAAGCTGCTGGCCAGCCCTGGGCACGCACGTGAGGCTGCTCACTGCAAAACAGAGAAAGCCTGGTGCATTGGAGTTAGCAGTGTTCCCAGAAGACACAGTGTGATCGGGGCTCAGAGGCCCCAGGGGCTTCGCAGAGCGGTGCAGTGTGGAGGCAGAGTCAGGCCACTCCTGTGTGCGACGGACAGAGGGAATTAAGAAAAATGCAGACAAGGGCCCCGTAGGCACAGCTGCCTGCATGGCACCTGGGCTTCAGAGGGCAAGGCCAAGCTGTTGGTGGATGCTTGGCCCTCAAGCTCTGTCCTCAGAGGGAAGCTGCAATGTTCTCACATCCCCGAATGCCCCACTGGGCCTTCCTCTCCCAGGCCTGGTGTCTCTGTCCCCAGCAAGGGTTCTTGAGATGGGCATGGGAGTCAGGACTGCCCAGGGGCCTCCACACCTGGGAGAGGGCTGCCCTAGGCAGAGCTTTGGCCTGGCCAGGCAGGGGCAGCACACTGGCTGGAGGCAGGAGGCCAGGGCGGCTTCCAGGCCGAGGGTGATGAGGCTGTGGTGAGGGTGAGGTGGGGCTGGGGACAGTGAGGTGAGGCGAGGCGAGGTGGGTCTGGG